ATAGGTAATGAAGAAGTAATTAGACAATAAAATTAGATTTTAGGTCAACAGGATTGCATGTGCTTTCACAAACCACTTCATGATTAGTAAAGCACTGACACCCAATTACTTGCACACCATCTTATTGTTGGTGATGGAACCCCACACTGAGTCTCTCCTCAATTAAATTACCAAACTAAACTGGAAATGAGCTACAGTACAACTCAAGCACGACATAATTAAGTGTTTGCAACGCTCTGAGAACAACGGGCGCTGTTCTAGGTGAATTAATGCCTGTTCCCAGGTGAATACAGGGCCTGTTTGGCTCAAGGCGAACAGATGCCAATACAGGACTGCACCAAAGGACGGCTGCTAGAGACGCACAAGCATTGATGTCGGCTTCAAACCTCACCTGTAGTACTCCCAGACAGCATTGATTCTTGTCCAGCAGAGAGAAACGCAGAGACAGAAGCGCAGCTATTGTTTATGTACAAGTCGTTTGAGGCAGATAAACTCATCGTCTGTGCATGTGTGTCTGTTTCCCCCCCCGCGTCAGAAAATACACACGATCCCCTCCATTCATTAAGGCTCCACAGAAGGAGATTCCATTAATCTGTTCATTAGGCCACATCAAAAATGGAACTACTTATTAAAATCAGATCCAGCTGTGTACTCTCGTTAAAGCCCGCCGTACGCTACGAAGCTTAACAATGCTCGTGGCACTCGACCAAAACCCGGCCACAAGAAAGGGGGAAAAGACTCGACTACATTGGCCTGTTTTGACTCAACACACCATGATAATTGCTCTACTCTTAGCAGGGGCCTATGAATAAACATTGCTTTTGTCAGCCAGCGTCTGAATGCTCCATTTCCAATTAATTTACATTTGCCCAGAAATGGAGGGAATATCTGCTCTTAATCACTATGTTTTATTTTCTCAATTTCCCCCAAGTCTTTTCTCATTCTCTCATTCCCTGTCTGACACTTTCATTCCCCCTCGCTTTCTTTTTCTAACTCTCTCTCTGGAAAATCCCATTAATCTCAGCCAGTGGTTTTGAACAAAAGCTATGGGCTAAGCGATTGATCCGGGCATTGATCCCACTCGCCTGAACGATCATAAAGGTGTTAAATTGGTTTCTTGGAGGATATGTATTTTTCATTGCTGGCTGCTGCAAGTAGAAGTTCCTGCTTGGTATGTCTCCCCTTTTTTTGTTTTAAGCTAACACGGCTGATGACGTTAAAATATTAAACAGATCACACCTTGAAAAGTAGCCTTAAATGTGGATTTTGAGGCCAGTTTGAAGCAGTTTTTTGGGGAAGCATGTTTTCTGCATGAGTGTGAAACTTAAATAGTAAATCCTTATAATGAGTTTTGCTCCATCCAAGAGTAGGTGGAGGCTTAGGATTGTCAAAAATGTGCAGAGTGGAAATCAAAGTAGTGAACTGCACCATTTAATAATGCTGTAAACTCTTTCTTAAATTGTTATTATGTGGCTGAATTTGTGTCTTTAAACCACAAAAGGATTTCAGGTCATTTCTATGTTGGTCAGGGAAGAACCCATTAAATTTAGGTTTGAATTTCTTTTTTCCCTTTCTTAGGGCGTTTTTCAGTATTTTCACAGCTTCTGGGGAAAAATTCATGGATTTTGATGAAAAATATTTAGGGGACTGATATTTATGAGTGTGTGGAATTTGGTGCAGCTTCTTTGGATTTAAGGGGACTGTTGGGCCTCATACGCTCTGCTGAGTTGTCACTTTTTTATTGCCTGGTTCTACCCTGACACAGAAATAAATGCATATTCTTTTCCACACTGAGCTGGAATTAGCTTTAAAACATAGTATGACTTTCTATGGTATTATGATGAAATAAACACATGGGATACACTGTCACTGATCTCATATCTGGATTTCTTGTGTTTTTAATTCAACGGAAAACTGTTATAGCCGTAATAAAAAGTGTGTTTTGCTTCACTTGGCAAAATGAGGAAGTGAGAAATAAAAACAAAACACGTTTGTTTCCTATTGAGTCAACCTTGCTGGAAACAGTAAACTAGAAACAGGCAGTGTTATCTGAATTTTCCGTGACTATGTGTTGATAGGAATTAACGAGCCAAACTGATCATCGGTTTTATTGCTCCTGTGGACTTCAACAAGCTGCCTATTTGAACTTTGTAGTGTCGTATTGTGAATGAATCAGCCACTGGCAATCAGCCCATGTTTTACAGACTATTTTCTCTGCACATGAGATAGTGCTCAGATTGTCTGTGTGAAATCACAAGATTGATGGGTCGTCCACTCCGTGTCAGAAAGTTCATATTATCTGAGCGAGCAGGCGGCCGATCTTGTAAGATCAGGCGCCATGAATGTTGCTCATTTGACAGAGCAAAGGAAGAGCTTGTCAGGGAAACAGCTCGTGTCCCCGGCACTTAAAAGGTCAGCGGACTGAACCCCAGCCCCCTGGCCCGCCCCCTCGCCCGTCTGTCACCAGTCCCTCTCTTCCAGGCGGGTGTCCCCTGCTCTCTGCTAGGCTGCCGTCGTCCCCTCTGAGCTGCTCCTCTTTGATGACCCGGGCCTCTTGTCAGGGAGGAGCTTCCAGCCAGGCAGAGTGAGGACAGCCCTTTGATGAGGACCCCGACACTTGCCAGCTCTACTGACATGCAGGGGGGGGGTCCTTTGAAGAGCCTGGGCCTTACATGTACCCATCCGTCGAAAGACGCACACACACCCGCACTTACATGTGCTTCCAGGTTCCTTAGATGGAGCGACCGAGAGGAGAAGATTGGGGAGAACTCCCGTCTTTCACCACTTTCTTTGGTTTCTGATGGTTTTAATGAAGGCATTTGAATTTTACTTTTGTTCTGGATGTGCGACGCCTCGAGTATGGGGCCACAAAAAAATAGATGTATCAGAATTAAGGACAGAGAGACAAAAAGAGGCCGGGACGCTGTCAGAAATGGCAGAAAAGGTCACTGGAGCTTTGTTGTACTTTTTTTTTTTTTTCTCACTGACAAAAGAAAAATGGGAGATGATGGGCTGTAAAATTGCTTCTTAGATTTGTTGCTGCACAATTTCACCACATCATTTCTTAATAGTATGGGAAAGGTTCCTCAATAGGCATGATAGACGCATGATGGTAGGGTATTCATATTTGTCGGGTATGTGGAATCTCTTTTGGTTTTTAATAAAGGTCAGAAGAAAAGCATTGTGTCTGATTTGATTACGCTGAGACATTGTTGTGCCACAGTTATTGCTATGACTGCCTGAGAGGTAAACACACACTGTTTGACACCATCACCAGTCAAAACAATCCCGATCAACAGGCAATACACTGAGCTGCAGCCAGTGCTTATACAGCACAGAGCCCCAGTTGTTGACATCATATTAGTGGCTAAGGTCGCTGCATATTTCAACAAACGGATCCCTGTATGATTTCCAGACAGCACACAGAAAAGACATTCCTGTCAGTGGCGTTCACGCTGCACCTGCCTGCGTCCCAAACTTATAACATCGATCCAACATTCTTCGCCCGGCCGGTTGCGGTTGACGTCGGTGTTGAACAACTCAGACGGTTCTCACAGACTCAAAAGCAACAAAGTAACTCACATCACCACCAAAACCGCAGTGTGCCCGGAGAGAAACATTATTCCCAACGATACCACAAAGAGCACAATGTTTGTTGATAGGAAAACGGGGGGGGGGGGGGGGAGAAAGAAGCTCTCATACATTTTCCTCATTCCTTCCTCCTCAATGTGGCCTTTTTTGTCTGAGTGTGGATATGTGGAGTAATGATTAACACAGCCAGGCATGGGAAGAGACTCACACTTGCAATAGTGGGGGTTGTTGTATTTTTTTGGGACAAATCTACCGTTTCGCCTGTGACAGCTTCCCATGCTCACCTGGCAGGTCCCTGGGAGCCAGCGGCTGGCATTCAGGGGGAGGGGGGTGGGGGGGGTTAAGTGGCTACTTAATCATTATCATCTATGGAATCACTCAGACACTGCTGGCAATAGGCAAACAGATAAACCTGGCAACATTGTAAAATCCGGCACGTAGCAAAGTGCTCAACTGTGTGTGGAGAGGTTCACATGAGAAAGCTTTGGAGTGTATACAGGGGACTTTTGAGCTTTGTGTTAGGTTGGAAAAAAACAATGCCCATGGTGTGCAACTGATCAATAGCGATTGACCTGTGAGCAGACTTACCCTGTAAACAGCTGCCTGTGATGTGTTCAAGCTGCTGAGGCGAAAGCATTCCCTGAACTTTTTGTTTTGAGGACAGGACACTGGACTTTATTCGTTGTTGGAGTAAAGACTCTTCTGGGCCACAATTTATACAAATAGAAGATTTAACTGTTATTTATACAAACCGAGACTGAATTACGAAAATGATAAATATATACATATATGTTTTAATTCTCTAAAAAGGCACAATAACTTTAAAGGGATTCCAGATGTTGATTCAGAGACAAGTTAACAGTATAGTTTGCCATTTACAACCAACTGACATTTAAGCTGTGTCTCAAATGTACCGCATCCTTCAGAGGATCCCGTCTACGCAGCCAACGTCGGCTGCATCCGTCATCGGCTGAACCAAAATGAGATGGTCTGGTTTTCTTATTGCATCAACAGCTTGTCCCGCCCTTACACTCGTCGCCTGTTGGACAAAAAAGTTCCTCAGTTGATTAAAAACATTGCAAATATGGTTTCTTTTAGCAATTCGGTTGAGCACCAACATTTAAAAATCTTTTGATGTTTTTGCCTTGCTTTTTGCCGCCATTACCTCTTTGAAAAACTATTTGTAACTGAAGCACAATGAATCATGGGATATGTTGCCGCTGTGGCGCAATCAGTCTTCAAATGCAGCCTCTGAAGGATGCAGCCCCCAAATCATTCCTCTGAACATGTGCACGATTCACATTCTCATGTTGCTCAGAATCTAATCGATACTGAAACACTTTACATTCCACATTGTTACAGATGAAAATATAGAGAAGTTCTTAACTGACGTGTTTATCTGTCACCAGGTGGACGACCAGATGAAGCTGCTGCAGAACTGCTGGAGCGAACTCCTCATCCTGGACCACGTTTTCCGGCAGGTGGTGCACGCCAAGGAGGGCTCCATCCTTTTGGTCACCGGCCAGCAGGTGAGTTGGTCCCCACCCTGGAAACATGGAGCTCTACCTCCAGCCACTGTTTCCTTTTTTTTTCTACAAAACCCCACCAACCATGCATCAGTGGCTCCTCAGGGGAAATCCACAGATGCACATCTCAACATTTCCCTTAAAGCATTATTGATCCCTCAGCCACACAGGAGTCACTGCTTCATTAAAAATAGATTATTATAGATATAAGCTAATGTCACCAGCAGAATCAATTTAGCATGTTTTCTCTCAGCAGGAAGACGCTGACTGTGAATAAGTAAAGCACATAGTGCAGCATAGTGAGTAGGTGTCAGCCATTTTTTTTGTTTTTGGTGGGAGCTCATGCCCGAGGCCCAAATGGCCCAAATCCTTAATCTGTCAGGATCCTGTGATTCACAGAAAAATCACAGCAACCAGAAGCTGACAACACAGAATGATCTCATGCACATACAAACATATAGACAGAAAAATGCACAATGAAGAGTTTACTCACACACACTTAAAGGTAAGAATTGAAACTGCTCATCGAGAATACGCCTCTGACCTGAGGCTGTCAGAGAGATGATAAGTCATAAATAATTGATCTGCAGGTTTTTCAAAACATTGCTGTTCAACAAAATGTTTTATAACGCAAGACACTGGATTAAATATTGGAGGTGCTTTCATTTTTTGACTCTGAATGAAGACAAGGTCAGGGGTAGATTTTTGAGAACACTGCTACTGCTAAGTAAGAAGTAGTACTTCTACTGGTGAGTAGTAGAGTCAAGAGGCAACGTCCACTAGAGTTGAACAAGTGCATCGAACCAGAAGGAGTAACAGCCAACGAGAAGGATGGTAACAGGTGTTGAACAGAGGGGAGAAATGATGAAGGAGGGAGTCAGGGAGAGGCGGAAGAGGATGGTTGCCCAATAAAAGCAGGAGGGAGAAACAAAGGGTGTGAAGAAGTGAGGAAGGATAGGGAGAGAGAAACAAGGTGAAAGAATGAAATGGGGAAAGAAGGAGAGGAATGGAGGAGGGATCAGGGAGGAGATGATGAGGAGTAGAGGAGAAGGCAGCTTGAAGATACAAGAGAAGTACGGAGGAGGGGGAGGAGGGACCGATAGTCAGGGGAGGTGCAGGTCGACAGTTTCGTTTGCATACTTTGGTTAATGAACAGCTGGTGTAGCGTGTGCGTGTGCGTGTGTGTGTGTGTGTGTGTGTGTGTGTGTGTAAGAGAGAATTTGAAACAGTTCATTATCTCCTATTATTCTCTGCCTGGCCAGGGGTGACAGCACAGTGATAACACCAGGGATATTTAGACCACAGTAGCTGCATCACCCAAAGCAAATGCTGCACACACACACACACACACACACACACACACACACACACACAAGCCAGAAAATAATGTACCAATACCGTGTCAACAGCTGTTGCATTGATATGACGATCTTAGAATGTCTTGCTCCGATGGCATCAGGAGACTTTGAGCTTTCAAACAATGTATAATTTGTCAAGGTTGTGTGAAGACTGAGGCTGGAACATCACCCCTACAGAAGCACTAACAAGGCCAAACCAACCCACGAGTGGGACGCTGTGTTTTGAAGGGTTAATTCCTTTTTCTTGATAAATTCCAAAAAGGCAGATCAGGTCGCTCGTATCGTACATTAGAGAAAGAAGATTGTTAAGATGGATCGTTGAGACAGATGTTTCGCTTTGAATCAGCTGCTCCTCTCTGCACTCATACTGACCTTAGAAAAGACATGCTACCAGCAGATTTACTGTTATAGCCTCATTTGGTCTCCGTCTTGCTCCTGTCCTTATCTTAGTGGCTTGCTAATGTCAGTCTATTTCAAATGTTCTGGCTTTTTTTTCTCCCGTATTTCGACATGTCACCAGTTTGTCTATGATTTTAGTTTTGGCGTTGAAGACAGGATCAAATCCAAAGTGGCGAAACTTTGGCTAATGCATGCAGACATGAAATGACAAAGACTGAAGTGTTGAATGATTAAACAAGGCCTCTCAGCTTTGCAGCCACATATGAAAATGCTGATGTTTTGAAAGCACAATGCTCCTGGTGCACATGAAATTCAAATGGTGCAGAAATGCAAAAACAGATGTTCCTGCAGCCGGTCGCAGATTTCTTTGTGTCCAAACACTTTCTATTCACATCAAACCCCTTCACCCATCAAACTGCTCTCACCCTCCACATTCATCTTTAATGTTTAGCTTTAAGATCATATTCATGATGGGCTAAGATTTGAAGGTTTTTTCATATATTTACTCTCTAAGTCTCTCCAGCACGGATAATAAAGTCATATTGATTGATTGATACACAGGTCACCGGGGTTAGTGCTAAGTCTGCTATAGCCACATTATTGCAGGTTTTTTTTCTCCTCCTCTCTTTTTTACTTGGGGCTAGAAGGCAATAACCCAAGGCATCACTATCAACAGTCCAATCCTTCAATGAAGTTATTTCATGCACAGTTGATTTTATGTAAATTGATTGACACCTTAGAAGGGGGGCAGCATCTGCTTTTTCACAGAGTCATAACTCTCACCGTCTCGAAGGTGGAAAGAGAGAGGGACAAACAAGTAGTGTAGTAAAAGAAAAGAAAGAGAGGGAGGGAAGACGACAGGAAGAGAGATGGAAAACATGGCGCATTGTTAACATTTACTCGACTCTGCCCCGTCCTCAGACGGATGAAAAACAAGCTGCAATCATCCTATTTACACGATAAATAAATTCCAAATCCAGGCTGCTTTTAATTGCAAATGGGAGCTCGCTGGGACCTTCTTCCTCCCCGAGCTTTAGGAACTGCGCACGCCAACATCTACCTTCCCCTGGAAACCCTCACACAGTCAATTATGATAATGAATTGTCAATAAATATAAAAATTTCATATGGTCCTGCTTACTGTGAGTGGCAGCTAAGGACTTGCCTCCCAGACAAATGTGCTGCAGCTGCATATATGGAGTGCACCTGGAAAAGGAGCGTGGGAGTGCGTGTTTAAAATGGATGGGTCAGAACAACAGAAGATGGGTCCATCTTTCTGTTTATTTATCTATCTATCTATCGGGTGGGTTGTTTCAAGCAGATGTGCGCTCTCCGTTCTCCATCATCAGCAAGTTGTTACAAAATCTATTTAAAATATTTTCGGTAACGTCCTCAAATCAATGAATGAGTAGATCATACTGGTCAAAACCTCCAGAGCAGTTTGCACTTCTTCTTACGTCCCTCTCTCGTTGCTGATTCCAGGTGGACTATGCAGTGATCGCCTCACAGGCCGGAGCCACTCTCAACAACCTGTTGAGCCACGCCCAGGAGCTGGTGGCCAAACTGCGCTCGCTGCAGCTCGACCAGCGGGAGTTTGTCTGCCTCAAGTTCCTGGTCCTCTTCAGCCTGGGTGAGTCTCTATTTTTTTCCTACGTTTTTGGGTCGGCCCTTCGCACTGCAAGAGCCTTCTCCGAATCAATTTCATTTTAAATTCAAATGCAGGTAAATGCTTTAGGAGAGGATTAAGGTCTGGCACTGGAAAGAGATCTAGAGGATGGAAGAAGATAAGGAGGGGAGGAAGGAGCAGTGAAAGAGAAAGGAAGGAGGTAGAGGAGGTATGGTCCTTTTCCCAGAAAGAAAGGGAGGATAGATGATTTTACACATAACCCGATTTAAATTTGCTTTCATGCAATCTCTAGATCAATAAGACATAAGGAATCATAATGTTCACAGGGTCTATCGTCACGTTCAGAGGGAGGAGTGAAAGATGGACTGAGAGTGTGAGCTAGAAAATAATGATAGGAGGATGATAGTGGAAAAGGGAAGGAGTTGGTTGGAGGCAGGTATCGCAAAGCATTGGAGACAGAAAGGTGGTAGAGAGTCGAGCCCACGGGATCATACAGGGAAGGGAGCGAAGTGGAGGGATAAGTAGCCAAATGAGTTAAGGGATGAAGAAGAGTGTGTGTGTGTGTGTGTGTGTGTGTG